GCTTGTAGTGCTTACGAAATGTAACAGACAAAACCAACCATGTGAAAAATATTGTTAATGAAAACAAGTGTTCCAGAATTGGTTGTGTTTGATTATGAGAAATTGTGATCGACTGCTTGGTCGTTTAGTCACTACGACCAATCTTCGATTATTTCAATTAATCGGACCACCACTACTTCTGACACAAACTACAAACAATGCTGGACAGTCCCTGACAGTCTTCCTTTACACAATCCCTAAATTTCAATTCATAAAAATTATCTTTTCATAGTATGCAAAAAGCATCACGGACAATCTCTATTTCACATGGTCCTTGTCTCAGTCATGCCGGACTCAACTCTGATGACCTGACAAAAGTCCTGAATATCATACTTTATTACTGAATTTAATCATTAAATTGAAAACAGTGTGGTATGGTTATAATGTAGTCAAAATACCAAATAAATGTTTTACAGAGTATAATCATGATAATGAGAGCAAATACCATAGTGTTTCTGGATATGTACGTAAATAACTTCAAGCCTTCGAGGTTTGACCTAGGTCACCACTGGGGAAAAGTGAGATAAATCATAGATGCCAAATTTAGAGTATTGATGATCAAAATGGTTGCAAAATAGAAGATTGATCAGTAATGACAAGACTGAGAGGACAATTTCCGGATCTAATATACATTTTAGATAGCCCACAACCGTTACTGTAAATTTGAACAAAAAATGATTGGAAAAGTTATGTTTGTCCGAAGCAAGTATGGTAATCATGGTGAGTGTCAAGCTGAATAGATTTTGAATATAGTTGCATTGGAAAAATAGTGAACCTCACATAAATGATAAAACGTATATACCACGTATCTTAAAATGCTGAAGTCAAGACGAGTGGATTTATTGTCATAAAAAATTGGTCAGAGAGAGCAAATCACTTGGGATGCTTCTCAAAACACTCCTGATGACCTTTCTTATATAGACCAATGTTAAAGGCATTCAAAGTGCTATCAGAATGTTTGCTTTAGATGGGATATCCAAAAATGACCTCACTATTCATGCAATTCAGATTAGTGAATGATTTAGGGTAAGTTGCATCCGACTTTATTCCATCTGCCAGTCAATGTGTTGAATGTTTGGAGACAAGTAGAACATCAAGCTTTCCAGCCATGCAAAAAGAGTGTTAATGACAATAAATATTCGTTATTTTCACTATTTGGACTAGTGTTGGGAATTGGTTGAAATCTCACAATTGATGATTGGTTCAATACCAACGACCAATCATCGAAAAAAATTTGGTTAGAGTCATGTTTTTAGATTTTCCTATTCAGGTTGTAGTTGCAGATAAGTATAAAGAAAAAAACATTTGGTTCTCTGTTGTTGTTTTTTAGAAACTGCACATATTACATTTGCAGATTTCACATCCAGTGTAAAATGATTCAGTTCCAGTGTTACATTAACTTTCCAGATTCTTCAAGAAATATTCAGTCATGACTTTTCAGAAAGTGAAGCGAGTTTTCTTAGAAATATGTATTACACGTTTTCAGGCCCTGACAACGTCCTAGATATGTTCCATCATCAAGTATTTCAAACTCTATTACAGCGGTTCCAAAATCGTTTGTGTTCGATTATGAGAAAATGTGATTGATTGCTTGGCCCGTTTAACCACTGCGACCAATCTTCGATTATTTCAATTAATCGGACCACCACTAATTTGGACTCGTAAACACATGGCAACCAATTCAGGTCAATTCTACTACCACGGACTGTGATTTCCCTTGTTAATGCTGCACTCAGCAATTACTAGTAACATGCAGCTATATGACAGCAACCTGTAAATCATTAAGCCTGATCAGACAATCCAGTGATTGATGATATGAGCATCAATCCATGTTTTTTTTATAACCACAAGTAATTTTTATTCTTCTGTGATACACTTGCAACTGCCAATTCAAGTGCGAGCACTGAGTGTTGTGCTGAATTTCCAAGCTCAAAATTGTTTCCCCGTCCCAGCAAAATTTCAGTGGACTTCAGTATTCATATGTACATCAATATTTGACTCTCTTATGTGAGTGTACTTGATCAAAATCACTACACTCAGGGTTCAGATTAGTGGAAAAGATGTAGCCTGGTATTTGTCGCATCTTTAATAACCAGTTGTATATTTATCAGGCTCAATATTTTATAATCATGATTTGAAGGTACTAAAATCTTGCAAATATTTGGTTACTTGAACATTGTAAGCATACACACATCATAAGGCATTAACATTTAATGAATGGTTGATCATGTTGAACATCCTAAATAAGAAATCTCATACTAAAAATATTTTCTCTGCAATCATTCACTGCATCAGTGCACCTGGCAAACAATTAATCATCAGAACATCACCAGGTAAAGCTCAAATCAATAAATTATGTCAGCTGAACGATATTACATTATGACACTGTATTCAGTATTTCAAAATTAATTACACTTAAACATGATGACCTTGTTTCACTCACTCATAAGACAAAAGAAACATACACTTGTTTCCATAGTAACATGGACCTAACTGATGTAGGTCAGTAGGTAAGATTTAATGATTAGCATTCTGATTTGTTTTAGTTTTTCATTCAATACTTAAAAAATACATCTCATAAATGCCTAACACAGATAATGTGCACATTATTTTGTAATTTTATTGTTACATAGATTTATATACAAAAAGTCAAAGAAATTATAACATGTAGAAACACTTTCGTGAATGTAAACATGTACATGGATAATTTCATGCTGTTTTCCTTTGTAAATAAACATTTTGGTTACTATGTTTTTTCAATAAAAAAATCCCCTTGAAAAAGTTACAGCAACGGATCTCAGAGACACTTCTGTTTGACTGGCTGACAGGAAATGTTAACACAAAATGACAATAAGTTTGCTTACCTCATTAAATTTTCTTAAACTATTTTAATTTAAATTTTCCAAACCACAATTTTCATAATTTATTTCAGTTTTACTGGCCACTGACATTAGTTGATGAAGTGTGAAGGTTCAGCAATGGACAATTTGCCACTAATGTCAACATGACAATTGACAACATTATGTCATAAGGTATTCACAATATCAGTCGGCCCATGGTATTAGTGTATCTCACTAACAAGTGTGACACTTAATGGTTTCTATGGGACATCTGGCATTCCCAATGTGTTGACTGTAACTAAGCTAACATGACAATACATACCAGATGTATCACCACTTTCTTTACCTGAACGAAATGCCAGTCTAAGAAAACTTAGGCTCAGTATTATTCGTTACACAGCTATACTGAGTCTAACAAAACCTAGTAGAAGGTCGCGTCAGCTAACCTTTTGGACTGACCAATCAAAACACAGCTTACAAATCGTGAAAGTTAACATACCGTTTGAACCTTTACCTAAAAAACTCGAATGATTTCAAATGCTATCGCTTCCGAGTGATACACGCAATGAGTAAACAGTCGCTGAAAATAGCGTTTTTGTCAATATTTAAGGATGTCATCTTGCGAAAATATAAGCAAATAGTAACCATGTCATTAGAAACCCATAAGCTTATATACTGCAGGTCAAATATCTGTGTTTTATGCGGATTTCGTTTGTTGTTAGATCAGTGTCAGCGACCAGGGAAGAGAAAATCCCAAAAGCGGTTTGTAAGTCCCGCCGAACCCTAACAAGTAGTCGTTGTCTGATTGGTTAAATCTGTTCAGGCGTCTCGTGTTTGAATGGATGGTCATAGGTCGCTCAAAGGTTACCTGACGCGACCTTCCACACGGTTTTGTTAGACTCAGTATAGCAATGTAACGAATAATACTGAGCCTAAGTTTACTTAGACTGAACGAAATGCTGGAAAACTGCACATTTTTCAGGAAAAAGGCTTTTAAATTACCAAGTCAGTCATGACAAAACTATGTAACCTGAATCTCCATTATTTGGATTAAAAATAAGTGTTTGCCTGTAGGCAAATGGCAGGAAGGTTTTGTGTTGGGCCAATAGTTTCAAATTAGAAAGGATCGCTTAGGATTGATATAAATTTATGTGTTGATTTATTTGTCAACATAAGCTGTAGTGTTTTCTAAAACAGGACTTGAATTGTTAATTTTTTTCTAAAGTGTGTGAGTCCTGATGGCAGTGGGTCATTTTCAAAAATTTCAAATACTAATTTCCATTACAATCAGATGCAACAGAATTATTATCAATGATTTTGTACCAACTGAAGATTCATGACCAAAAGATTTGACAGCACATCTTTATCCATGTAAGTCAAAACCTAATGTCATGGTGTTGAATTAATAAACACAGAGTTAAAAGGTTGGTAAATCAATCAAAGCCTATATCTGCTGAATAATTATTTTATCAGAACGAGTCATGTTTCACCAAAATATTTTTGCTCCAAGTGCATGCAATCTCAAATCAAAACAGATTGTCAATATTGTGTCTTGATGGATTTAATTGTTGTGTCATATATAAAAGGCTTTAAATAAAAAATGTGAACATGAACATACTTTAAAATGTCTGTTTAACATGTCTACAATTGAAATATAATGAACTTCAACATGCAAGTTCATGATTTGTATCCAGAATCATTCAACAACAGATATAACAAATCTAAAGTCAGATGCTGAATAGACAAACATCAACTGTCTAAATTAACTCAATACCACATAGCATAGGTAGCCCTGTGCTTGTCCTTACAGTGCTAAAAGCGTCAAGTTTCTATGGCTTAAGATTATTATCATAAAGGTTTGTGCTCAGAGAAATATAAAAAACAATCTTTCCCAAAAGCAAGGTAGAGGCAGGAATAAATAAGTGTACCTAAGCGACAGTTGTTGCACATAAGCACTGATGGGTACATGCAATCAAGATGCCATTGTAGGTATATGGTCATGTCAATGGTAGAGTAAAATATCAACGCGACAGATGGGTGTCACGTCCAGAAATATGTTAAGAGTCGGTATCTTGAGTTCACGCCCCCAAATAAGATTTGCTTAGGTTTTGTTTGACCCACCTTCTGCAATCACATCTTCAACTGTGACACTGTATCTACCAACTTGGAACACTTTTCCAATATGTGCATTTTGCTGTGTTGAACCGTCAATTTTTGAGAAAAATTTCTTCATGGCAGCGGCCTACAAATGTGAACTTGTAAGTCAAATCATTCCGAGGTTACTCATCAGATCAAAATTGAACTCGGTTACTTCCTGTATTCTCACTGACTTCCGCTGGCTTCTGACAAATTTCGGAGTGCCACATTCCCGAGCTGAAATCTCTTACTGTCTCACCGAAGTATATGTCACTGCACGCTGATTCAACAAAGACCTGTTATACTTTACAATAAACGGTTCATTTGTGAATACTGATTGCGGCGAATTCATCGCACCTGCTTCTGCTAAAATTATGGCGGACTTCTCGTCTGACAGACGTCACGTGACACACCTCGGCACTTGTTACATAGGCTTGTTTACCTTAGTGTCAATATAAAGCGCCGCTTCCATGCTCATTGAAACCACTGATAAGTAATGAAAACAGGGAAGGATTAAGATAAACCTGCATTTATCCGTTGTTTACATCACTGCGACTTGAACATTACTCATCTCGCGGTAAATTACGAGATCAAATTAGGAAAATGGCCGACAAGGCGGGAGAGAAGAAATCGAACAACCTTTCCTCTTTGTAAGGAAGCAAAGTTGTGTATTGATCACTGCGATGCAAAGTTTATTTCCACGCGGATGTGCCAGTTTTATCGTTTTCTACCATGTCATGCCCGTTTGAATATGTTTAGAGGAAGAAAACTGCCAAACTTGCACTGAAATGGGATTTGTTTACAAAACATAATTCAGAATTTGACAACACGTGAATATATCTTAGGGACAAATTTCATGATCTTGAACAGTGCATACCTTTTTGCTAATGTAAACAGGTCACATTTAACTCGGGACACTCTTTTGTAGTAATAGAAGGGTTAATACAGCGTTTGTATTAGCAAAATCAGGGGGTATGATTGCCATGGAAGAAATGGTCCTTTTCGGCGCGGGTGTAGTACCGTCGCTTGTGTTTTTCTCGACATATATTTCTACTCCTCCATTTTGACTTGCTGTGTTTCTGAAATTTTGTAACTTCTCACCCAGTATGTTTGTCAACAAGTACTTTCCGGCTACTGTTCCAGCAACAAGATATTCAGAATCAAGAGCTGTACAAAAATACAATGCCATCCTGTAATTCCGTGCATCTAAGCACATCGATCGCAACACGGCAACTCTCATCTCTTATTTGTGTGGTTTACGTGACTAAACATGCTGGTATGCATCATATTTACCCAGAAATATAAGTTTTATTGACGACTATAAGATTCTAACGTTGCATTATGCGATACGGTTGACCTTACCGGTGTTCTGACAACATCGCTTACTGTCGGGTAATTCTGTGCAGCAACTGATGCGCATAACCTCCAGCTGGAGATCCGAAGTATGGAAGCGTATTAGGGCCAGATTATTTTCAAAAATCACTTCATCGATGGAAGTAAGAGTGTTTCATATTAAATCCAATTATGAACAATGAAGAAAAAGGTTTAAAAGTCTGAAAGAAAACGAATTTTCATAAAACTGTCAATTTATCTGTCAATTACTGTTATTTTCTTACTTTTAGTAATTATAAGCCAGTCCCTTGTAGAAATGTCCTGATTTCAAGTGTAAATGTGGTAGCAGAGGATGTTTACCTTCGATACAGAAGTACGCTATTGCAGCTACGCAGAATTACCGGACGTGTGGAATTACCGGACTCGCTTGTATGTTTTTGATCAAATTTGAGAAATATATCAGTTTGAAAAAGAGATCACTGACAACTACGATGTAAGTAACCGCTATGAAAAATTAGTATTTTAAAAAGTTCTAAAAATGTTTTAGGGCTGACAAAAACGTAATTGATAGATTGTCTGCTTGTTGTTGATATCTGCTATTGGAAAATTGCATGGCTTGTATGAGGCTCAGTGGATGTAAATAGAAAGCCAGTGAGGCGAGCAAAAACATATGATGTCATTGCAGAGTGTCCTGGGCTTACTCGAAACTTACGGAAACGATCTATGATCTTTCACTTCATAGACTTTCATGTTAAACATCTGAATAAGTTGTGATTAAAAATATCAACATGTAGGTACCATATTTGACTGTTCTTATATTCATTTGTTTTTAATGAGTACATAGTGATTCATAATCACATTTTCTGAGTGAAAACTGATATCACCAGGGTACTACAGATACATACCCCAGGTACATTTCTGTATAGCCGACCTAAAATCAGAATACAGAACAGGACCGATGAGTCCATTCCACACTGTGCACTGCACTTTGCCAGTTCCTTGACTCTGAACATGACAGATTGTCTTTAGTTTCTAGTTTGGAATTACTGTTTTATAAGATTTATTCCTGTGTGGTGCAATGTTTGCAATACTTTAATTTGCCAGTTGGCCATTAGGGCCTGCTTTACAATCTACAGGCCCTGAATGAAATCTGCAAGTCCACTTTGTTAAAGTCAAACTAATAAAAACAAAATAGACTACACTCGACATAGTTTCACACTGTTTCTACAAAATCAATTAGCGAAGCCTATGGTGCAGAGAGAAGTTTTTATTTGTTAAAGAGTAAAGATTCCTATTCGCAAAGCGTTGAAATATCAGAAAGCGAAATTGTAAGTTATTGTAACATAATGGATCATGGATGATTCCCGAACGTTAATAAGGCCAGACCAATTTTATTTCTTGTTTTACGGATTTTTGTCCTCAGAAAACCTAAAGGCAGGAAGGAAAAAAATAAAAATCACCAGTCAAAGTAATATTCCTTTTAAATACTAAAAGTATTTTATTATTGGCAATTTATGAAGTGTATAGGGGTCACACAAAAAAATCCACAGATTTTGTTGTTTTAAGTTTACATTTTTGGCCAATAAACACATAAGGATTTTATTTTTTGAGCGGGGAAAGCACATTTTTATTTTTTTTCTTATTCTTGAAAAAATACCACTGGCGGATCCGTAAAACAAGAAATAAAATTGGTCTAGCGTAATGAAAACAATTCTGGAAAAGATTTCAGTTGAAAAAAAACCCCTACAGATAAATTACTGAAGGCCACAAGGGGCTGCAAATATTTGAGACTGCTGGTTCAATACAATAACAACCGGCGCTGGGCCTCCAGGCAGGCGATTATTTCGAACGCTGGTGTGGTGTATATAAAGCAAGCATGATGACGTGTACAGTACCAATATTCTGCAATGCTCAGTATTATCCAGAATGCATTCAGGAGAGCAGAAACTGCAACATGAACTGTTTTGGGTTGAGGAATATTGACTCATCTGCTGTTTAGGTACCAGGTACTGTTATGTATTCTGATTGTAGCTAGGGTACATTTTTGTGTACTGAAATATACCTGGGCTCTGTGGCACCTGTTTTAACAGTAACCCCCTCAGTCCTACAATGGCTTGGCAAAACTGCAGTTTACCAAGTGAATCTTATTGTTGAGCTGATTCTGTTAGGCACCCTATAAGGTCCTAATTGTTAGTTGTTAGGTAAGGTAGAGCTGATTGGTGCAGACTGCTGTCTCTGGCACTGCTATTGGAGAGTTCTTGGCTCCTTAGGATAGGTGACACCCAACACAATCCTTAGCCCTTGGATCCCCTTTCTCATTAGGTTAGGAACCCTGTACAATCCTAGTTAGTTGTGAGGTGAGGTAGGAGTCAGTTACCTCCTTTAACAAATAAATCCAACACAATTTGAGGAAACTCTGAAATCATTGTTTAGTGTTTTGCAGTGTTTTGTTTTGCAATTTTTTGTTGTTGTTTTTTGCAGAGAAAATTGTTACTGTGCATATTTAGAAGGTTAAACCATCGCAGGCTGATGACTTGGTAAATGTTGTTGGGATTTGGCTAGTTGAATCAAGTCATTAGCCAAGTTAAGCTTCCTGTTTATTAGCATCAGTTTGCACTACTCCAACTGCAGATTACATTATGCCAACAGAGGTAGTGTTGTTCAAGTTACAAGGGTTTAGGAACTAGCATTGTTTCAAAGTAAACTTATTTAAATTAAGTAACCAATGGTTAATGTTAGGGATTTACCTTGATTCCTGTATTTGAGGGTCCTTGTGACTCATACTCTTAATTTTCAGGGATCCGTGACTACAAAATGGGGGTCCCAGATACTTAATATTATTATTAGTACTTTTAATGTATTGTGTATCATGATCATCACATTGTTACAGTAATTAAATTGCAAATGATACCATAACCCGGCTAGTAGCAGATTGAGTGACAACTTATTGTTACTTGATCGAAATTTTTCCAAAAAGTATTCAGAATTTATCTGTGTCCGTATGGACTCGCTAATAGATTTAGTTGCGTCCATTGTCAATTTTTATGCGTATAGGACGCAGGAATTCATGTCCTCTAAATCCCTGATATTTTTACAATGAGAATCATCTCTGTAGGAAAATACCCCTCTTTTGTATAAGTGCATGCCATTACATATGGCCAAACTAGTTTACTTCAGTGTATTTAGTACTTTGCAATGAAAACAACATGTTGAATCACTCTATTGTCCCAGAAGAAGTAGAGCGTGTTATGGATGACATATTGCACATGCAGTTGAACCTTGTGAAAATATCAAGGGTTCAAAACAACCATCAAAGAGACTTTTTTAATACCAAACATCATGGTATGAGAGATTATTACAAAGGTCTTTTGGGGTCTACATAAATTTCAGTGCCCGTTCTGCTGGTGGTGAAGTTGGGGGAAACTAAGGCATATCATCAATCAGAGTTTTGCCTTCAGAATTGACTTCATTGTTTAAGTTATATCTCGATATCAAAATAAACTCACTAACACCATATCAGTTGGTATTACCCTATTCTCTATTTTAAATATCTTGTTGCTGGTTGGTATGCTAAAATCAGCTTTTAATTCGGATGTCACTTGAGCTTGTCAGTTATTCTTCATAGGATTTTGGCGTGTTGATAGAACATATTATGCCATATTCAGCTATTTCATATCTTGTTTAGTCACAGAAATAAAGAAAATAGCATATTTTTTGTAGCAAAGTGGATTGGTGATGTTTGCTTACAAAACTCTCAGTGATAAACACTATGAGAAATTATGTGTGCCCCCCCCCCAAAAAAAATCTGTGACTATCAAAAATATTTTTCAAACATTCCTGTGCATTTGCAGGGAAGACAAGGCACTGGAAGATCAAGAAGAAATTCAGAAACAAGACACAGGTTTGTACTGTTGTTATCAAGCTGTATATAATCCAAATTTTATAAACTTAACAGGCAACGAATTTGTTCTTTTTGGAGTGTGTTTTGCTTACGCTGCACTCAGCAATATTCCAGCTATGTGGTGGCGCTCTGTAAATATTCGACTCTGGACCAAACGATCCAGTGGTCAACAGCTTGAACATCGATCTGCGCAATTGGAATACAATGGCATGTGCCTGACCATCCAATCCTGTTAGTCACCTCTTATGACAAGCATGGGTTACTGAAGATCATTTCTAATCCGGATCTTCACAGGTCCTTTTCGGCTAAGAGCTGATCTTTAATTGGGGCCTTATAGAATAGTAAACTTAAATTCACAGGTCCCTGAGTGTAGAGAATATGGTATTTTTCACTACTGCTTGATATTGAATCTCCAGAGGCCATGGATACCAGTGAAGGGGGTGACGAGGGGGCAGCTGCCCTATTGTCTACTGACTGTAATGGGGACAGCTCTCAGGAGAACAAGGAAGACATTGACATGGTCCAAGCATCAGAGATGGGAGATGTTCCAACAGAAATGTCAGATTCACAACCACAAGCTTCTCAGTGCTATTGGTGAGAAAGTGTGCAGTTATGAAAGACAAGAATATTTATTGAACTATTTCATTTTTAAAGTATCTCATGTTAAGCTCACCAGACTGATAAGGGAGTTTATGCAATAAGCAAGTTCAGTGTCTGTCAGCACTGGGTAAATATTTTTGTCTCTCAGACTGCTGGACCAGTGAAACTGATGTTGTCATGTTTCATCTTACTATTGATGACATCTTAAAGTTCCAACCGGTGATGCAGCGTAAGGTTGCTAAATAGGTATAATCTGTTTGAGAAATGTGGCAGCCATAATTTGATATGACATTTATTATGTTGATTTGACTGTTCTGCTAAATTCTCTCAAATGATTCTGTTTGATGTGTAAATATAAAAGATATTTCCTCTAATACTGTCTGACTGAGAAAGTTCTACTTGGCATGTTTCTGCTTATGATGGCATCATATTTAGTTGAAATCTTCAGGGTTATATAGTCAGTTTGTTAAATGACTATAAATGTTTTCCTACCTTAAATGATAAGCTTAAACAGCTGAACTATGATCATATTCATCTTCTTGCTTTAGTAAATCAAGAATAGTTGTACGAATGTAGTATTTATGCAGGGAATAGTTGGATGTCCTTTGTGAAGTAGCTGTGTTTGTTCACACTACAGTTTGGCGTGTTGTTTAGTTCTATTATCATACCATATCTTTATAATCATTATACTAAAGTCACCAACTCACCCTGAAGGACTCCATGCTTGTCATAACAGGCAGTGGACGAGGATACACATCATCCTATATTTGTGTCGTTGGTTTGTCTGGACTTGACTAGATTGTTTTCAGACAGACATTGTTTACAAATTGCTGTTATGTGACCCAGCTCAACTATTTCTGCAATGTAGAACTACAGTCACTCACTCTCAAAGATCAACAGTGATATACATTACAATATGGTTCGTTTGTTTCAGTGGCAAAGGTCGAAACATAGGCAGTGTGGAGCTCCAGTGTAATGTGTGTCAAGGCTGGTTCCATTCCCAATGTATCAGCTGTCATATCGGGTATGTAGTGTCAGTGTATCAGCTGTCATGTCGCGTATGTAGTGTCAGTGTATCAGCTGTCATGTCGGGTATGTAGTGTCAGTGTATCAGCTGTCATATCGGGTATGTATGCTCCGTATCAGCTGTCATATCGGGTATGTATGCTCCATGTATCAGCTGTCATATCGGGTATGTATGCTCCATGTATCAGCTGTCATATTGGGTATGTATGCTCCGTGTATCAGCTGTCATATCGGGTATTTATACTCCGTGTATCATCTGTCATATCGGGTATGTATTGTCAGTGTATCAGCTGTCATATCGGGTATGTATACTCCGTGTATCAGCTGTCATATCGGGTATGTAGTCTCCGTGTATCAGCTGTCATATCGGGTATGTACTGTCAGTGTATCAGCTGTCATATCGGGTATTTATACTCCATGTATCAGCTGTCATATCGGGTATGTATACTCCATGTATCAGCTGTCATATTGGGTATGTATGCTCCATGTATCAGCTGTCATATCGGGTATGTATGCTCCATGTATCAGCTGTCATATCGGGTATGTATGCTCCATGTATCAGCTGTCATATCGGGTATGTATGCTCCATGTATCAGCTGTCATATCGGGTATGTATGCTCCATGTATCAACTGTCATATCGGGTATGTATGCTCCATGTATCAGCTGTCATGTCGGTTATGTGTAGTATGTATCAGTCTATGTGTATCAACTGTCATATCGGTGTCATGCTCCATGTATCAGCTGTCATATCGGTTATGTAGTCTCGTGTATCAGCTGTCATATCGGGTATGTATGCTCCGTGTATCAGCTGTCATATCGGGTATGTAGTCTCCGTGTATCAGCTGTCATATCTGGTATGTAGTCTCCGTGTATCAGCTGTCATATCAGGTATGTAGTCTCCGTGTATCAGCTGTCATATCGGGTATGTAGTCTCCGTGTATCAGCTGTCATATCGGGTATGTAGTCTCATGTATCAGCTGTCATATCGGGTATGTAGTCTCTATCAGCTGTCATATCGGGTATGTATACTCCGTGTATCAGCTGTCATATCGGGTATGTAGTCTCGTGTATCAGCTGTCATATCGGGTATGTAGTCTCCGGTGTATCAGCTGTCATATCGGGTATGTAGTTTCGTGTATCAGCTGCCATATCGGGTATGTAGTCTCGTGTATCAGCTGTCATATTGGGTATGTAGTCTCCGTGTATCAGCTGTCATATCTGGTATGTAGTCTCCGTGTATCAGCTGTCATATCGGTATGTAGTCTCGTTTATCATCTGTCATATCGGGTATGTAGTCTCCGTGTATCAGCTGTCATATCGGTATGTAGTCTCGTTTATCATCTGTCATATCGGGTATGTAGTCGCGTGTATCAGCTGTCATGTCTGGTATGTAGTCTCCGTGTATCAGCTGTCATATCGGGTATGTAGTCTCCGTGTATCAGCTGTCATATCGGGTATGTAGTCTCCGTGTATCAGCTGTCATATCGGTATGTAGTCTCGTGTATCAGCTGTCATATCGGGTATGTAGTCTCCGTGTATCAGCTGTCATATCGGGTATGTAGTCTCCGTGTATCAGCTGTCATATCAGTTATTTATACTCTGTGTATCAGCTGTCATATCGGGTATGTATATTCTGTGTATCAGCTGTCATATCGGGTATGTAGTCTCATGTATCAGCTGTCATATCGGGTATGTATACTCTGTGTATCAGCTGTCATATCGGGTATGTAGTCTCATGTATCAGCTGTCATATCGGGTATGTATACTCTGTGTATCAGCTGTCATATCGGGTATGTAGTCTCATGTATAAGCTGTCATATCGGGTATGTATACTCTGTGTATCAGCTGTCATATCGGGTATGTATACTCTGTGTATCAGCTGTCATATCTGGTATGTAGTCTCATGTATAAGCTGTCATATCGGGTATGTATACTCTGTGTATCAGCTGTCATATCGGGTATGTATACTCTGTGTATCAACTGTCATATCTGGTATGTATTCATCAGCCCTGAACGCTGACAGTCTTTAACGTTAACAGTATTTTTTCTTGCCAATTGACCGATAGTCGAGGGATGACTGTCAGCCTCTCTTACAATAGCCCTCAATGAGAATGAATATATATGGCTTTTTCGGGATTAAAAATGATAGGTGTTGCAAGACATTTTTCCATGTGTTAATTTTCAACATCAGTTGCCATATTGGGTATGTTTTCTTATAAGATAAGGTATCAAGGTGTGATTGAGGCTTGTAATTCTGTTGTTCTGTTTTCAGCAAGTGCATTCCTTTCATGACAAACTACCAGTTCATTTGTAAAAATTGTAACCAGACAGGCCTGGAGTCATGTCAGAAGAAACAAGCTAGTAAGTCGAGCAGCTGCAGTTACCTCTGCAATTACCAAACATGCGATGTATTTAGTTTCCTTAATATTGTAGTATTGACTATCACCCTGTTGGAGGGCTAGACGTTCTGGGGTCCAGGTTAGAGTAGGCAGCAAAATGGCTTGAGTGGTGAGGCTCGGTAACTTGGTTGTGTCATTGTAACACAACTTTACCATAAACATCCAGGGTAGAATTAATCATCAGCAACCCATGCTTGTCGTAAGAGGCTGACTAGTGGGATCAGGTGGACAGGCTCGCTGACTTGGTTGACACATGTTATTGCATCCCAAGTGCGCAGATTGATGCTCATGATGCATAGGCGTATGCAAAAGGTGTATCCGCCCCTGATGATGTTGATCACTGGATTGTTTGGTCCAGGCTCAATTACTTACAGCCCGGCTGCCATGTAGCTGGAATATTGCTGTGAGCGGCATTAAACAACAAACAAACAAATGTACCTCGACAGTGTGGATTGTTGCTCATTGTTTTGATCACTGGATTGTCTGGTCCAGACTTGGTAATGTACATACTGCTGTCATACACCTGGAATTCTGCTGACTGCAGCATTAAACAGCACATTAAAACTTTAATAAGTAATTAATAATCACTTGTTTATCCTTGTGATACATGATTTTCAGATTTTGAGGAGTAAAGTATGGTAATCATGCCAGTAAATCTAAAAGAGTTGAGTAATGGTTGCTGAATTATTTGTTTTCGAAAATATCTACTTTTAAAATTGATTTACCAATCTCATCTTAAATCACTTGCCTTCAAATGTGTACACTTTGTTAACTTTGTTTTAAGTAAGTTAACTCTGAGAAATAGCCACACACGAGTAGTGGCTGCTGAACTGAAAGTATTTAAGATGTCAGTGATGTCCTTATTGTCTCATTCTGTGGTTGTAGTTCCTGTGTTTGATAAAGAATCCAGCCCCAGTTTCTGCTGAGGCTAACAATGTAGCATATGCTTGCAGGCTTTACACAGATCTGCTACACTGCAGTAGCCAACCTGGTGCACACTGCAGAGAGCAAAGGGGAGGCCAAAACTTTCTTCTCAAAGGAGAGGGTGAGCAGATTGCTTGATCCGTTATCTCCCTTTGGTCCTTGCAGGTGTTTGCTTGTCTCTGTTTCATCATTTGTTACAACTTTAAATGTGCTCATGGTCGTTGGATGTGGTCATCATGCTCCCTCATTCGTTAATTGTTTAATATCAAACTCTATGGATCAGCCATTAATATCCTTTCATCAATTTCCATGATTGTGAAGGAACCTGTTAAGAATATTCCTTACATTTGAGTGAATATGTTGTTGTGCCATTCTTTAGCAACATTTCAGCAATATCATGGTGGAGGACACCAGAAATAGGCTTAACTCATTGTACCAATGTTGGGCCTTACTGTGGACCATTCATTTGTGCGTCGTAAATTTTCCATATGTTGTACTTGATTTTAAATGACGAGTGTTTGACTTTCAGGAGATAATTCCTTTCATTGACAAGAACTGGGAAAGTCTAACAACAGTGTCTCGAAGAACCAAACAGACATGGCACACCACTGTCTTCAAAACAATGGTATGTCACATTGGGTATTGTTTAGTCTGTATACCAAAACAATGGCCTACCTTATTGTTTGTATTGTTTAAAAATATTAGACTTGAGTACCCATTGTTATTATCTGATGCGGACTCAAGTACCTGGCTTTTCAGGGGTGGAAATCACTTTAAAATTGCTAGTGTACTCCGGTACAGTGGCACATGTAAAATCACTTGCCCTGATAATTGTTCCACTATACCAGCTGTTTTCTTGTTGATTTTTTAAATAAACAACATAATTAACATTGGAAAGTCAACTGGACACCGGTACAATGTGATATACAAATTTGCTTGCCTGACAGAAAAAACACTGGAGTCGGACGTCGGGCAATGGGTTATTTCCACCCCTGCTTTTACTGAGGTCATGTAACTTGATATTACATTCACCTCTTTTATCCTGTTTTCTTGTGGAGACTGTGAACATAATTTTTTTTTAAACAACATCTGTCCCAAGTATCCTGCATCATTAAAGAAAACTCATCTCACTTCAGTGAATTCAGGTGAACAAACAGATTTAGAATTGTCACTGGACATGTTGACATTGGAATATGTTGTTAATACAAGAACCATGGCATGCATTCATCTGTAACACAATCATGCATTGATCTCATTGATTGCTGATGTTTCAGACCAAAGACGTTGACCTGTTTGTGTGTGATGACTCCACAGGAGACTTCTGTTTCAGTCTGGTAAACCAGGTGAGCTTACAAACCCAACTCTGCTTCATCTATATCTGTAGCACACTTGGCTTCACTTGATCTTGTCCTGGCCAGTTTGGGCTCAGATGGAATTTGTTAAAAATTTGCATGTACTGATTACACACTTGGTACCAGTCTATTTGGTGATTTTACACCAGTGTGTAGACATATTAACCTAATGCGGGCTGAAATGCTGTTCCAGGTGCCTTTTTATTAGTATCTGTTTGTTATGGTTGTAGGATGAAAAAAACACACTGACTTGTCACTTTCTGTAATCTGGTAAGCAACATTGCTTGGTCAGATGAAGGTCTTCACACGCAAGAGCTACTGACATTACTGATTTTGCATGTTTTATGCAAATTCACAGCAGATCTTATCTAAAAGCTCTGTATTTCCACTCATCCACAGAAATGATCAATTTACTACAGTTACTATCTACACAATAGTAAAAGTGGTGGCCTGCAAAGGACAAAGACAAAGGTCTTCCTCCCAAACTTGTGGATGCTTGTCATGAGAGGCGACTAAACGGGATCGGGTGGTAGCATGTCTTTGTATCCCAGTTGCATAGATCGATGCTCATGATGTTGATCACTGGATTATCGGGTCCAGAATGTTCCATATACTTTACGTCTGCTCATGTTTCAGGATCTGTCGAAGATCGGCCCCAACAGTGAAGTCACCAGGGCCAGTCAGCTGATAGGACAGCTTCCCAAGGCTCTCCCTGTGGTGGACAGTAGGTATCCATGTTATAACTGACGCTGTAAGAGCAGAAGTACCCCACAGGAGTCATGCTGGTAGCAGTTCTTGTATAGATGCTCAGTTTGTAGAAAATACCTCTTTCTGGGAGGATGCAGCTTTGTAATAAAACTGTCAGCAGGTCAGTAATGTGGTCAGCAGACATTACAGATTTCCGCATCCATTGCTGACCTTGACATTTGAAAGTACCATATAAGTATAAACTTATACATGGGGTACTCGTACTGCTGTCAATCACTCTTCAGTGTGCTTTGTCGGGCGGCCCTAAAACTTTATGACTGTTCTGTACTCAAGCTTATCCATTTCTGTCGTTCAGGGCTACATGTGATTAGATGTCTTGTGACTGGAAACTAGCGACATGTGCATGTCAAAATTACGTTTATGTGAATGATATAAACCATTCTTCAATATCATATAGTTATTTTTATCATGCACATATCAAAAGTATTTTAGGCTCAAAACGTTTTGAAAGCCCCTCGTACATCAGTCTACTTAGTAATGTGTTGATTTACAAACTGTAAGTTAACTAGAAATCAGTCTGTAAAAGAATTTAAGGTGAAACCAGCAAACAAAGCAGAAATGTGATAGAATTAACAAGTTTAGAAATCACAACAAAGTAATTACAATGGCAGTTCAAATGGCGTGGCAGTACAAATACAGGGCAATATATACTTGGCGTCATTAATAAAGGATCAAATGCTAAAAAGCACATGTAAAGAAAAGTTTCTCAGAAATGATGGAACTAAGAGTGTCATCATAATGTTTAATGTGTTGCCAAACGTAACACATCGTGACATACAGACAAAAAGTTCAAACAGCACTAGCAAACATCAGTTGTATAGGCCACCCCCTGAAAATGAAAATACCAAACATGAAGCACTCGGTCATTCAGTATCTTCTGTACCCTCCTCGCGCATCCAAGACACAGGTGCACCATGTTCTCATGCTCCATATCAAGTTCATAAAGAAAGCTGGAGGAATCACATTCCTCTACTAGAGCTCTGTGGAGTCCTGGGAGATCCACTAGTGCTAGGTGACGTATGTACACATGTCGACTGAGTTTATCCCAGGCATGCTCAGTTGGGTTGAGGCCTGGCTAGCATGCTGGTCACTCAATCCGCTCTACACCCTGCTGTCAAAGGAATTCCATGACAATCCCTGGCCCCATGAGGCCTAGCATTGTCGTCTTGCAGTAAAGACGGTCGACCATAAAAGCCATGCATAGCTTGCAGGAATGGTACTGCTATAGGAGCCAGAATCTCGTCCGATAATGCTGTCGGTAAGATTACTGCCGACCATGTGCGGTGGAATGCGTCCAGTCAGAGTTATCCCTGCCCAAACCATGACCGACCTCACTCGCCAATCAGTTATGCGTAGACACAGTTGCATCTGTAATTCACTGTTCATTGTGATGATAAATCCTCTGCCGACCATCATGGAAGGAAAAATTGAATCTGCTTTCATCTATAAAGAGCACATGAGACCATTGACGTTGATTCCAGCGGCCATGATGTCTACTCCATCTCAAACCGCCTGCCTGTGGCGTGGTGTTAGTGGTGGGCGACTGTAGATTAAGCCTACAGCAGAGTCAGAGTCAGCAGAGCGGTGCTCCTGGATATCCTTACATTGTTAACATTAAAGTGGTCTGTCTGAAGATCTGCTTTGCTAAGGAATCTGTTTAAGTAGCGCCAGTGTTTATCATATGCCTATCAGCTTGGACTGTTGTGACTCTGGGGCGACCTGGATATTCCATGGACCCATTGGCTTGAAATATCTGCCACAGTCTACCAATAGCACTCTGACTCACATTAATGCGGACAGCAACCTGCGCTGAGTTTGTCAGATCATTGACATTTAGTGGCAGGTGGATTTCCATATCGACAATTTGAATAAAAAATGTGCCATTTGTAACATAATGTATTTAGTGTTCCCCTAGGATTCAGAAGGGCAGGGTAAATTAAACAAAAAGGGGCACTTCATAATCTAAAAGGGCACTTTGGTGAGGATTATTGAAAAATAACAATAACAAAATGTATATGAAGTCAAATGCTCTTATAATTTTATTTCTAAAAGTTCATTTATTAATCTTCTCATTTTGTATTTTAAGATCAAAATTTGGAAAAAGAAGTATTTCAAGACATTAACCTGTTGTCACATTTGTTTTACAATTTCACAAAACACGCAAACAACAATCTACAGTCTTCTTTTCTTTCTTGCCAAGCATCTGTTCACAACTTTTTTTTCAAGTCAATGTCTGAAACTGACTGATGCATTCAGGCTAATCATGAGAAGTCCGTTGCAATTTTGAACACTGGAGTCTGTTTCTATGATCTGTCACAATCAGTTTCACTTTTGAGAACACTCTCAACTTCAAAGTGGACAATCACAGTTGCATGAATGGACAGTAATTGAACAATGTTTGGATTCAAGTTTCCAAGTTGAGGCTTGAGTCTTCAAAATGGTGGAGGGTGAACTGGTGTAAAGCTCCTTTACTTGACTCCACTCAATCTCTGTTTGAAATCGACATTAAGTCCATTTCTGCCCTTGGTGTTCCACTTAGAACATCATGAACAAAACATCATTCCCTTCTTTTGTCATCTTCTGAGTACCTCGACCAGGGGCGGTTTTGTTGCCACTTTGTGTCAAATGCAGTCTTGTGGACCACCATCTTTCTTCTGTGTTGGATTAACTGACTCTCTGTCTCGTGTGCCCTTGAATTTTCATAGGAAACTACCTCTGACTCGTCGGGTCGGTCTGAAAAAAAAATAATACAAAGTTCATATTCAAAATATTCTTAGATATTAAATTTGCAATCATAATTATTAAAACAAAATATCACACAATAATACACCTGAGCGTAAAGAGTATCTACTGTGGAGAGTGTGGAGGGTGTGGCTTCCCATTATTGTTTGAAATCAGAAAATAGTTTCACGCCTCAAGACTTACATTTTTTATGAAATCGACAGTAAACACTAAAAAACAAGGCTACCAAGTGAAGCTGTTATGCAAGCTGTATTAACTATTTCATTTTCGTGGGACAAACAACAAAAAATAATTCAAGATCAATTTCAAATTGCCCGATGGATTCAAAATGGCGGACATTTTCGAGTTTCAGATTTTCACCTAAACAGCACAGTCACATGAATATCCGGTCCCCAAACGCGTACCAAAATACATCCCATGTAGTTCACACATCGTTGTCTGTAATAAATGAAGGTCTTATTTGAAAGGCATGTGAAATTGAAAGGGAAATCAACGGGCCTAAAATCCACGAACTTAGAGGCACATACCTGTTAGGAGCTGAAGAAATCTATTAGTCGGCTGACACTTCCTTGCTTCAACCTTCACCGCTTCTTCTCTTTTCCATTTGATTCTTTCCTTGGTAGGCATTGTGATTTGTAAAGCGAATTAAACACATTTGACTTCGCCATGGTTTAAATGCCAATTTCCTAATCATTATCAAAACAATTTGGGGTCTCCCTTGAAAGGGAGAGAACTCCGTCCTTAATAAAATCCGGAAAATACACACGGGTTGTTGTAAAATCAAGCACAGCTGGAAAAAACTGGGATTGAGGCGAAAAGGGCAGGCGAAAACAAAAAGGGCAGGGCAAAAAAATCAAAGGGCAGGCGCCAAAAATCAAAGGGCAGGGCGCCCTCCTAAATGTGCCCTAGGGGAACACTAGTATTGAGATTATTAAAGAAGGTAATAATGACATTTCAACTGCATGATGTGTTTTTCCATACTGTTAAGAAAGATTGTAAAACATTCAGTTGTATATATGTCAAATAAAAACGAAGATTTTACAACTTTAAGAAATAGTGTTACCAATAGCTTGACCCTTCATTAATGACGCCGAGTATGGTATGAAAGCAGTAGATGATAATATTGCCTTCACTGCAGCAGTGCTCAAGCTTGCAAAATAGGCCAAGGCTGAGAATCCTGATTGAAAGTGATCTTTACAGGACTGCTGGTGATCTTGTAATGTGAGATGAGGCAAAACTGTGCAACTTACATATAGTGTAGCCATTGTGGAACTTTGCATAATATACTGTTAGCATTCACAATTACATTTGAACTGATATTCTACCTAAGATATTTAGTTGATATATATATTTGTGCTAGAGTTTCACATTAAATGTACAGATAATCACAATACCTTGCTGAACTGCAAGTTAATCTTCCTCTATACATGGAGGATACATTATACATCATATTCCTACTTAATCAAATCAGAAATGCTCAATACATACTTTCTAATCCACAAGAACAATATAGTGATATATACAACATACAATACATAGTGAAACCAACCTTAAGTTTGACTGAATTTCCTGATGTCCATCTATGACCTCACACAATGAGAAAGGTGACGAAAGAATACAACAATATATGTGCACCCGAGTAAAAGACATGTACTTCCTTCAGAAGTAGAGCAGCAGCTGGTTTGAGAATGTTTAAAATCTAAACTTTGAATTCCAGCTATAACCAGCTTGGCCTATCAATTGGGACAATAGACTAGGCTGGGGTGCTCTTGGGCAAAAAGTGTTTTATTATACTTTTTAATTCAAAAGCATGCATCATGACAATTAGCTGGGGGTTAAACTGGTAGCTTACAAAAGCTTAGCTATGTAATGAATGTTTTGAAATATATAATGGTTAAGAATAAAAACACAAGAAATAGTCTAATTATTGTTGTCTGTAAGTGTCAAAGGTACAGGGTTACAGTAATACTATTCACTTACTGACATATCTTCATTAAACAATGTGTTAAGCTCCATTTCTAGTTGTCCCCCGCCGATGGAGCTGCTGGAATATTGCTAAAAGCGAGAGCAAAGAAACTAAACTCAGTCAGTCAGTCAGTCTTCATTAAACATTCTGTACCGTATGTTACCCTAGATAAGCCGACCCACTAACTTGACAATTTTAAATCCAGTGTCAAAATGGTATATTTCTAACATATAAGCTGACCGACCCCATAATGGGATCCTAATCAACGACCAACTCTGACCACAAGACAACTGGCAGTTTGGTCCTCAAAATTCAGCTTATCAATGGTAATATATGGTACATATCTTTTAGTCTGCCATGCTGTCAGTACATGGAATTTGGATAGGCTTCTTCATGTTTTGTTTAGTTGATTGTAATTTTATGATGAATGATTCCCCAAGAAATACAATTTGTGAAAGCCATTTTTTGATGTTTCCCCACTCAATTAGACTGGAACGTTGTCAAAAAGTTAAGCTTAAACACCAGTCACTCATGTACATTGGTTTCTAGTAGAGTGACAGCCAGCGATTCTAGAATCAGATATCTCTTCTTTGTTAGGATTTGGATTTGTCAAACAGAGGAGTTATATGTTTCAGGAGTTTTGGTTTCCCTTAAAATGACGTGACTGTTGTAGAAAGCAGGTTGGAGGTAACCAACCATCAGTGAAAATCTTTTTTGAAAATTAGAAAAAGCCTGACACATTCAACAAACTTGCATGGAGGTACTGATATTAGCAGGACGATTGTGCTGTGTATTGAAAATGGCTGGTGCCTGCCTCAGAGAAAGATATGTATTGTTTCAGGTAAAAGGGACCCTTGCGGCCAAGAGGAAAGCACCCTTCCGATAATCAACTAATCCAAGGATCCAAGCAGAAGAGAAGGTAACAGACACTGTTGATAAATGGCATGATGCATGTCTTCCTAATACTTGACTGATAAGGTCCCTGCCTGGCGCTTTTTATTTAATATGGGTACAACAAGGACTGGTCCAAACTCCGAGTCAGTATATAATGTGTCTGAGTAGGGTATTCATGCTTAACGCGGCATAGGTATCTCAGTGAGCTAGCACTATCAAAACCAGCTTAAGTCTGGGCTAGTACAAGCCGTCAGCCGCATTACACACATACACATCGCGATGCATGTGCTTCGTCATATGAGCCGAAATATTCTCAAGTCACGACGCTAAACCCCCATGTCATGTCACCTCCTCACCTCACCTCACCTTGATTGATAAAGCTGCTGCGATTACAGAGGTAGCATTTAGGGCTGCTATCCTAAAGCTGGCTCTTCACATCATTTTCAGTAAAATATAGAAGAATATGGGTGTTACTGTGTGAACTATTGTTAACTGGAGGTAACTCAGATTAAACAAACCTTTTGACTCAGACTTTGGATTAGCTGCTACAGTTGCTGACTCTGATAGGTTCTTTTGGAGTTATTTTAGACATGTGAAGTTGTAATGTAATACTTGAGTGATTTTCCTGTTTTTCACACTGTGCAGTGAACTGAGTTCCACAGCCAAGCTCCCACCTCATGGCTACCCCTTGGAGCACCCGTTCAACAAAGATGGCTACCGCTACATCCTGGCGGAGTGTGACCCCCATGCACCCAACAGACAGGCGTTCGACGAGCCTGGACTGGGCTGGGAAACCCATACCTGGCTACCTGCTACCGGACCTTCCTGTCCTCCCATGTCCCTCCTGGCTCTGCATGATAGAGTCAGCCTCCTTGTTGGTTTGTCATGTAAACATTTGCTGGATCTTTAACTTTCAGGGTCACAGTTGGCCCAGTCATGTTCTGAGCTGTAGTTTGCTGTGCAGAGTTGTGTGTCCCTTTGTCATGCATCTCCTCACCATCGGTTTGAATTCCAGATTTGATTTGATTTGATATTGATATTTTTGTTTGTTTGTTTGTCATGTAAACATTTGCTGGATCTTTAACTTTCAGAGGGTTACAGGTGGCCCAGAGTCATGTTCGAAGCTGTAGGTTGCTGTACAGAGTTGTGTCCCTTTTTCATGCATCATCTCATCATCGGCTTTGGAATTCCAGATTTGATTTTGATATTGATATTTTCAGCACCACACACCCTTGCTCAAATGTCAAGGACTCTGCATTAATTCTGGCTTTTTCTCACATGAAGCCGCCGAGCATGATATGACTGAAAGGTGGCTTAAACTTAAACTAACTCACATACATGTTGAATAGTGATATCTGGTGATCTTAGTACCCTGTATTACAGGGCTTTGTTTAGGACTGAATGTTTCAGTTTGTGTATGTGTTATCAACTTTTCCCAAATATCTTGATAGCATGGTTTCGCTATATATGAAATGATGCAAAGTTTCAATGTGATCAGTGTTTCTTGCAGATCTGAATGTGTGGTTTATGTTCCAGCTCCCAGTTGAGAGTGTCGGATGATCGGGTTGTCGGTGACGGGGAGAAGGGGTGATTGGACCTGCATGATCACGCTCAACTCATGAAGATGCGCCAAGAAGTTCACATTAGCTTTCTTCTTGATTTAATTATGTACATATTTATAATTCACACATTCATATTTACTGTTATATCACGCGCCAAGATCCTATTTACTGTTATTCATATTTACTGTTATATCAGACCTGGTTACATTCAGATCCATATCATGCTAGATCCATTCATATTTTACTGTTATATCACTGCCAGATCCACATTTTACTTCGTTATTCAATGCCAGATCATAATTGATTCATATTTACTGTTATATCATGCCAGATCCACACATTCATATTTACTGTTATATCACGCCAGATCCACACATTCATCTATATTATTTACTGTTATATCACGCCAGATCCACACATTCATATTTACTGTTATATCATCCAGATCCACACATTCATATTTACTGTTATATCAATGCCAGATCCAATACATTCATATTTACTGTTATATCATGCTTCAGATCCCCACATCCACATTCATATTTACTGTTATATCATGCGCCAGATCCACACATTTCATATTCACTGTTATATTAACGTTATATTTACTTATACTGCAATGCCAGATCTTACTTATTCATATTTACTCTGTTATATCAGAGATCCACACATTCATATTTACTGTTATATCATGCCAGATCCATGGTACATTCATATTTACTGTTATATCATGCCAGATCCTAAACATTCATATTTAATTGTTATATCATGCCAGATCCACACATTCATATTTACTGTATATCAGCGCCAGATCCATTACATTCATATTTACTGTTATATCAATGTTCCAGATCCACACATTCATATTTACTGTTATATCAATGCCAGATCCACACATTCATGTTTACTTAAGTTATATCATGCCAGATCCACATACATTCATGTTTAATGTTATATCCGCCCAGATCCTAAATATCCATATTTTACTGTTATATCATGCCAGATCCGCATTTCATAGGATTATAGCACTCTGTGATACTGCACTGACTTATACAAAGGAACACCTACCAGGAGATTGATAAATAACAATACTTGCAGATATTAGTGCATTGTATAAGGTAAATTAAGTTTTGGACCATGAGAGAATATTATAGAAAGGTCTGTTGATAAACTGAGCAGATTTTTTACGTTTCCAATGAGATGCTTGCTATGCTTCAAGGTAACATGATCTGAAGCAATGCTGATGTTTTGCTGTTTCCTAGGTGTACAGTGCGGTCGATGGTACTTTGAGGCCAAAATCGGACATGCCTGCCGAATCAGCTGTCACGATAGGATGGTCACAATCACTGGGTGAGTGGTTCCGGTGGGTGTTTTCCGTAACTAAAACCGTAAATCTAACAGTGCATGTATGTTAACTCAGTCAGGGCTAAACTGAAATGACTTTTCTCAGAGCTTGTATTCTATTTTAATCTTTGCCTCATGGCAGGTATACTACTGTTCATAGTGAGCCATTGTACAACCTTTTTTTTCTGAATGGCATATATCCAGCTCTAAGAATATCCAGGTATCTCTTTTGTATGAAATACAGGAAGTGGTCATAAGAGGTGGATTAAATGGATAGGTTCTTCAGGCCCATTTAGTTGATTGTATGCATGTCATCTTAATTTGACAGCTTGGGTCATTGCTCACAATGTCGACCTCTGGATTGTCTGGTCCTGACTTGATTTTTAAACGGTCCATTGTCAGATCATGAATTATTGAATTATAGATTATGACATAACAACTATAACGATATACTTATTATGTCCATTCTACCGATTATGTCATGACAGTATTTTCATCATCAATGTTTTGTTTAATTGGTGCTTGTTTGTAGGTTTGATGCTTTTCCTTTTGTGTTATCAAGCTACTGATATAAATCAAAGACTAGTAAAATTCACAAACTAGTTACATGTCTTTATACACTACAGCATTTACTCTCAGCAGCTTGGGACCATCTCTGTAGCTGTTTTGCATACTAATGATTCTTTTTCAGAAGATGTCCTCCTTGGGGTACATATAAGCAATAAACTGTCCATTTTAAAATACCTAATTCTACGACAGTTGTAACAATATTTCAATAAAATATTTTACCAAACGAAAAAACTTGACTACACCCCTACCAGGGCCCAACAACAGGACCCCCCTACAGCCAAGAGCAGGTAACTCTGGCTGCTTACATAACGCACCTCACTTTTCATGCTGTTGTTGTCAAGAACGGTTGTGCATGGTTCAGTAGAAGACATGTCTTCGCCTATCTACAAAAGAGAAATGAGTGAGAAGAGTTGAATTCTGTATGTATGGTTCCTTCTTTTTCTCGGTTCTGCTTTAGCTGGAATCTTCATATGCGACTTTCTTCATTCATGATTTGTTGTAACTTTGCCGGCGTGTTCGCTGTTTCCAAGCCATGTGGCAGGCAAGATAGGCGGACCGCTATGGTCCCTTCTTTATCCCTTCTACTGGCTTTTGTGCCGCTGAAGTCGGGTTGTAAAGTTTTCATATTTCATTACGCTGGTTATGCTTGCCTAAATTCCTCTTTTCAGTGTTTTTTTTGTAAGTTATGGTTGAGTGATTTTGTAGCGTTGTTCCTTTCAGACGCTTTGCTGCAGCCGCTAAATATCACCCGCGCATTGTATTTTTCTGTATTATTGTGTGCATATTCCACTATGTTAAACAGTCCTTGCTATTGGTCATAGCGGTTCTGTTTTTGCAGTCCAAGGGTGGGTTACCTGTAGCGCCACATTATTGCCTCAGGATCGCCACCTTGTATGTTTGGCGCTGCTTGGCGAGGAGGAAGCCGATGATAACCAGGGTTGTACCCATGTGTCAGGCATTTTCCCCTCGCTCCATCAACTTGCGTAAATGCGTTACATGATGTTCTACCACGCCTTTGCTTCAGGCGGGTGGGGACATTTGGGCACAGGAGCCTCCCCTAAGGAAAAGGGATAAAAAGCCTAAGAAAAAGAAGAGTTCCTCTTCTTCTGTGTCTGTATCAGGGCATACAGCTACTTCAAACAGGCTGGCGGGTGCGGGACCTTCGGTCCTTCAGTCCCCTTCACCAGCCTTTCCTTCCACGCCACAGGCACCTTTCCTCCAAATGTCCCTGTTTCAAATCCATTAACATTTGAACTAATCTCTGATCTTTTACAGCATCAAATGGTGTTGGTTCACTCGCCATATCTGACGCTGATGTCCGGTCTCCGCCAGGAGATTGGCGTCCGCCCAGGTACTAGGGGTGTCCCGTTTCTGTGGCGGCAGTGTCCCAACCTTAGCTTAGGGTCTTGTGTGGGGATTACTGTCGGGAGTGCGCCTGCACCAGCATTGTCTCGGGCGCTGCCGCCACCCTCCTCTGCTGTGCCTCACTGCCAGTCCGAGCCTCAGCTCTTGGTCCGGGTTGGTGAAGTTGGTGCCGGTGCTACGGGTACTGTCCCAGTAGTTTCTGCTACCCCTCGCATTTGGCCCCACCGCCATGCCTGGTAGCTTTGCCGGGCCATTTGGGAATCCCCATCGCCAGGGTTCTCCTCGCTTGCGCCAACGTGATCTCCAGTGTCGAAGTTTTGGGTCGGTCACGACTGGGGCACCTTGGCTCTGCTCTCGAGCTCCTCTGTCACTCTCCTAGACCCCTTCAGATCCGAGACCCTCGAGCTATCTCTAGAAACAGAAACTTTGCTCCAGGAGGATAGAGTTCAAGGAGGATGAGAGTCAGAGAGGGTCGGGTACACCATCAGTATCGCCGAGTGCGTCCCTGAGACATTGCCTCCGTTCTGCCTCAGGGTGGGTGCGCCAGTTCTGGCGCCTCTCCTCTGACGGAGTTTAAGCCTCCCCCTGGGAGGCATTCACTCCTACTAAGGTGGTAGACTCATCGCCACGCATTTTAGTCCTAGCTGAAGTTATTAACCCACTCTTCAGTGGTACCAGGTCCAGGTTCGACTTGCCCGAAGCTGGACTGTCGGTACCTCATGGGTGAGGCCGGTCTATATAATCCCCAGTGGTAGATGATTGTGTCTATGCGTCCAGTTGCCCTGGGGGTTCATCTGTAGCTCAATTTGCTTCCGCTAAAAAGGCTGTCGGCTTCCGCGCTTTCACCGCCAATGCCCGCGGCACTCAAGTCCGCTGCCTCCCAAAGTTACCATCCATTCTGCCTATATCTCGGTATTGCAGAGGCAATTAGTTGATGCGAGGCGGAGTCGAAGATGCATCTCCCCACCTTGGCTAAACAATTGATGGAGGTCTAGTCACATCTGGCGCTGGCACTCTATTAGGTCAGCCGGCTTGCCAAATGATGTTAGCGGTTATGGGCCTCCGTGTAGCTTTTTGGCTCTCTGTTGCCATGCAACAGGCACTACTGGCGTTGCCATTCCGGATGGGGCAGCTACGAGTAGTCGGGGAGCCGCATGGGCTGTGGTCAACCTTCAAGGACTCTAAGTCCTTGTTGGAGCAACCTTCACTTTCGTCTACGCAGCGGCTCGGCACTTGCCTCCTCCGCTTATCCTTCTGCTGCTGTTGAAGGCTGAACCTGTTAAATGGGCTCAGCCATTACAGTCGAGGGAAGGGCAATCTAGGCGGTTGGCATTGGTGACAAAGACCACTTGCAGTTTGAGTCTAAAATGTATGGGGAGTTATTGATGTATTTTTGAAGCTGAATATGAAATATCGTGATGTAATATCGTCTCAATACCCGACCTTACGCGAAGCGTTGATTTTGTCAACACTATCCAATATGGCTGGGCAGCTCTCCGGCGTTAGTGTAAGTGCATTTTTAGAAAACATCCCAACGATTCTAGATTCATGGCTAGCGTTTCAGAATTTTACTTAAGCGTTTCATGTAAAACTGATATGAGTGATCATGAATATGTTATTTTTGAAATTCAATACTCCAGTAATTATCGGTTTCACATTTCAAAACATACAGCAAATACTTGCTGTGAATCGCGATTTAGTACTGTGTCAAAAATGGCGACATTTTCGATGAAGCCTATTTTGAAAGGTCATTTTCAGCACTTGAACTTTGTCTAAAATAATAGTGGATGGTATCAAGAAACAGGAAATTTCCCGATGAATTCGAAACTGTGAAGTGTATTTGTGTGCGTGGGATATTTTGATTTTTATTTGACTTGAAATTGAGGGTTGAAGGGGAAGGACATATATGTCCCTGTGGCATCCAGGGGGTTATATCACGCCAGATCCACACATTCATAGTCATAGCACCTGTGATACTACTGAATTATACAGAACACCTACCAGAATTGAGAAATAACAATACTTGCAGATAGTAGTGCATTGTATAAGGTAATTAAGTTTTGGACCATGAGAGAAAATGATAGAAAGGTCTGTTGATAAACTGAGCAGATTTTTACGTTCCCAATGAGATGCTATTGATCAAGGTGTAACATGATCTGAAGAAATGCTGATGTTTTTGCTGTTTCCTAGGTGTACAGTGCGGTCGATGGTACTTTGAGGCCAAAATCACGGACATGCCTGCTGAATCAGCTGTACGAATAGGATGGTCACAATCACTAGGTGAGTGGTTCTAGGGTGTTGTCTAACAGTGCATGTATGTTAACTCAGTCAGGGCTAAACTGAAATGACTTTTCTCAGAGCTTGTATCCTATTTTAATCCTTTGCCTCATGGCAGGTATACTACTGTTCATAGTGAGCCATTGTACAACCTTTTTTCTGAATGGCATATATCCAGCTCTAAGAATATCCAGGTATCTCTTGTATGAAATACAGGAAGTGGTCATAAGAGGTGACCAAATGGATAGGTTGTTCAGGCCCATTTACTTGACTGTATGCATATCATCCCAATTTGACAGCTTGGGTCATTGCTCACAATATCGATCTCTGGATTGTGTGGTCCTGACTTGATTTTTTTAAACGGTCCACTGTCACATCATGAATTATTGTATTATGATTATGACATTACAACTATAAGGATATACTTATGTCCATTATGTCGTGACAGTATTTTCATCATCAATGTTTTGTTTAATTGGTGCTTGTTTGTAGGTTTGATGCTTTTCCTTTTGTGTGTACTATCAACTAGTAAAATTCTACTGATATAAAGTCAAAGACTAGTAAAATTCTGCACCAAGCATCTAGTTACATGTCTTTATACACTACAGCATTTGCCGGGCCACTCTCAGGAATCCCACGCTTTCCTCGGGACCAGTCTCTGTAGCTGTTTCTGCATCTCCCTAGACTAATGATTCTTTTGAGAGTCGGGAAGAGGTAGATGTCCTCCTTGGGGTACATATGGCACTCCTGCAATAAACTGTCCATTTTAAAATACCTACAACAGTTGTAACAATATTTCAATAAAATATTTTACCAAACAAAAACTTGTTTTGGTTAGTGAGACCACCCCTACAGGGCCCTTCTTCTGCGTCTGTATCAGGGGATACAGCGCCTAAACAGGCGAAGGGTGCGAGATCTTCGGTCCCTTGAGTCCCTTCACCAGCCTTTCCTTCCACGTCACAGGCACCTTTCCCTCCAAATGTCCCTGTTTCAAATCCATTAACATTTGAACTAATCTCCGATCTTTTACAGCAGCAAATGGTGTCGGTTCACTCGCTCATATCTGACGCGATGTCGGGTCTCCGTCATGAGATTGGCGTCCATCCAGGTACTGGGGGGTCGTCCCATTTCTGTGGCGGGCAGTGTCCCCAACCTTAGCTTAGGGTCTGTGTGTGGGGATTACTGTCGGGAGTGTCGTCTGCACTGAGCATTGTCTCGGTTGCGGCCACCCCTCCTCTGCTGTGCCTACTGCCAGTCCGAGCCTTCAGCTCTGGGTCTGGGTTGGTAGTTGGTGCCGGTGCTACGGGTACTGTCCCAGTAGTTTCTGCTACCCCTCGCATTTGGCCCCACCCTTCACGGTACTGCTTGCCCCAGCTTTTGCGGGCCATTGGGGCGCCCGTTTGGTCCGTTGGGGAATCCCGTCAGGCTCTTCCTCGTCTGCGCCACCCTGACTCAGTGTCGAGTCTTGGGTCGGTCGTGCTGGGCACCTTGGCTCTGCTCGAGCCTCTGTCACTCTCCTAGACTAGACCCCTCAGACAAACCCTCCGAGAGCTATCTCTAGAAACAGAAACTTTGCTCAGGAGGATAGGTTCAAGGAGGATGAGAGTCAGAGAGGGTCAGGTACACCATCAGTATAAACGGTCGTCCCTGAGACATTGCCTCCGTTCTGCCTCAGGTGGTCGCGTCAGTTCTGGCACCCCTGACCCTCACGGAGTTTCGCCTCCCCAATGGGAGGGAGGCATTCGCTCCTACTAAGGTGGCAGACTTGCCTTTAGTCCTAGCTGAAGTTATTAACCCACTCTTCAGTGGTACCAGGTCCAGGTTCGACTTGCCCGAGCTGGACCGTCGGTACCTCATGGGTGAGGCCGGTCTATATAATGGTAGATGATTGTGTCTATGCGTCAGTTGCCCTTGGGGGTTCATCTGGTAGCTCGCTTGCTTCCGCCAAACAAGGCCGTCGGCTTCCGCCTTTCACCGCCAACGCCACGTCACTCAAGTCCGCGTATCGCTCCTTCGAGGAGCAGTGCCTCAAAGTTACCATCCATTCTGCCTATATCTCGGTATTGCAGAGGCAATTAGTGGATGTGGGCGGGGTCGAGGAAGATGCGTCTCCCTCCACCTTGGCTAAACAATTGATGGAGGTCTAGTCACATCTGGCGCTGTGACTCTATTAGGTCGTCGGCTTGCCAAATGATGTTAGCGGTTATGGGCCTCCGTCGCCTTTGGCTCTCTGTTGCCACGCAACAGGCACTACTGGCGTTGCCATTCGGATGGGTTCTACCCTGTTCCCTGGGGCAGCTACAGTAGTCCGGGAGGCCACGGAGGCTGTGTCAACCTTCAAGGACTCTAAGCCCTTGTTGGAGCAGCCTCACTCGTCTCGCGCGGCCCGGCACTTGCCTCCGCTTATCCTTCTGCCTCGGCGAAGGAACCTGTTAAATGGGCTCAGCCATTACAGTCGCGGAAGGGCAGAGGCAGGGGCAAGGGCAAGGCTGTGGCAGCCCACCGGCCTTAGGCTTCAGAGGAAGGGGAAGTCAGCCCCGGCTTCCCAGCAATAATTCCTCTGGAACTCTTGTCGGTACCAGATCAAGCAGTCGGAGTACTGCCGACTTCAGGTATCCATTGCCTCATGCCAAATATCCCTGTGGGTGGTCGACTTACTCTTTTCCTATCGGAATGGGAAAAGGTCACCTCTAATCCCTGGGTCCTGTCCACACTCAGGGAAGGCCACATGCCACAGTGGAAGCGAGACCCACCTCCCTTCTCTGGGATCCGTTGCACTCCAGTGCCGGCCGCCCCAGAGAAGGCAGAGGCGCTCCGTGCCCACGTCCAGTCATTACTGGACAAGGCAGCCATTGAGGTGGTTCCAGTGGGACAAGAAGAGGCGGGTTATTACTCGACCTATTTCCTTGTCACCAAAAAGGACGGAGGGTTCAGACCTATTTTAAATCTCAAAGGTCTGAGCGACATAATAGAGGTACCATCCTTCAAGATGGAGACACTTCGCGTTCAGTGATCTCATCTGTGGAAAAGGGAGATAGGCTCACATCAATGCGACCTCAAAGGCGCAGCATACCTCCATGTCCCATGGTTTTCCTTCGACGGGAGTTGCTATCAGTTTTCGAGTGCTCCCCTTCGGCATCTCCACGCGGCGCCAAGGGTGTTCACCAAACTCATGCTAATTCCAGCTAGCCAGGTCACAGGGCAGATGTTGTCAGCCGTACCTAGATTGGCTCCTTAATTGCGCTTGCCACTCACTTTGAGTCGAGTTGCGACACTTTCCATGATGAGCATACTCACCAAGTTGGGCTTGATTATCAATCTGAAGAAGTCAGAACTGGTTCCCACCCAGAATCTGGTTTTCTTGGGAGCGTTTGAGACAGCGCCGAGGTGTAGTCCACCCATGCGTCACCAGAGAGTTGTGTTACAATTTCTCAAGTCCCCAGGGCCTCACCTCGACTTGGCTCCAGTTGCTAGGCAACATGGCGGCAATGGTGGACATTGTTTGGCGGCCGGTTGAGGATGCGACCCATTCAGCAAGCTTTGGCTCAAATGTGGGTTCACTCCGGGGTTACGAGTTGATTTTCCACACTCTGGGGTGGCTGATTCCTCATTTTCGCGGTGGTAGACAATGGCAGGGAATTTATCCAGGGGATCCCCTTGGACATCCCTTCGCCAGATATCTCAATTCAGACAGACGCCTCCTTGGTCTGGAGATGGAAAACCAAGCGGCAATGACCTATATCCTGAAGGTGATGCCTGTTTCCCCATCTTTCCTGCAGGGGCGTGGCAGTTTCTGCTCTGGTGTGACCAATTCGACATCTCGATGCCTGTTTATCTCCCCGGGCGGACGCAGTGAGCAGATGCTCTCGACATATCCTGGCATGAGTGGATGCTCAATCCCAGTTGTTCGGTCGTTCCAGGTGGATCTGTTTGCTTCTTGACAGAGGAACCAGATTCCGGTGTTTTGCTCTCAGATACTGGATCTGAGAGCCATCGCCTTGGACACTTTCCACTTCGATTGGACGGACAAGGTTCTGTGGGCGTTCCTGCCATTACCCCTGATTCCCAAGGTCCTCTCGCAGCTTGCCACCCAACCAGCTCGACTGCTGTGTTCCTTGCACCTCTTTGGTCGGCTCAAAGCTGGTTTCCGGTACTACTCAGGTTTCTGGCTCAGCCTCCTGTACTATTACCTTTTCTCGACCGGACCTACTATTCCAGAACGGAGCGCCGCACCTGAATCCCAGGATTCAGTGGGTGGCCTGGCCACTGTCCGGAATCGCCTCCAAGCGAGCGGAATTCCTGCATCAGTATCAGACACAATTCTGGCTTCGTGGAGGGATTCGACAAACGTTCAATATGAGGATAGATGGGCCTGTTATACGCGCTGGTGTGTTGGCAGAGGTATTCCCGATCCCTTTTCTTCAACTGTAGTTAAAGTGCTGGAGTTTTTACAGTCTCGGTTAGAGGCCGGCTTAGCCACGCCTACTATCCGGGGCTACTCCACGGCAATCTCTGCCTTCCATGTACCTGCCGACTTGGGGCAGCACCCTCTTGTGCAGCGCTTTGTAGCAGGCGTGGACAGAATCCGTCCGACTGTCCGGCAGATTAGTCCCCCGTGGGACTTGTCAATTGTTCTTGATTGGATGTCCGGTCCTCTCTTTTACGATCTGTTGTCTCTTTCACTCCAGCTGTTAAGTTGAAAGGCTGCCTTTCTTGTGGCGGTAATATGCACGCGATGTCAGCGGATCCTGCTCTGACTGTCTTTCACAAAGACAGAGTCAGTATTCGGTTGCCAGACTCTTACCGTCCTAAGATCTTTCACATAACGGCGCCTATTGAACTGCCAGCTTTCACTCAGCCTCCATCATCCGGTACCTCTCTTCGATGTGCTCACGTCTTAGATGTCCGTAAGACTCTCAAGGCTTATATCAAACGAATGGCTGCTATCAGGAAAGATAAGTCTTCCGGCGAACAAGCAGACCATATCTAGGTGGCTTGTCTCTGCCATTTGTATAAGTTACACTCACAAAGGTTTAACTATTCCTGATGGGTTAAAGGCTCATTCGGTTAGGGCAGTGGCTACATCAAAGGCATATGCCGCGGTACTGCCCATTGAGGAGATCTGCTCAGCGGCTATTTGGAGCCGGCCGAGTACGTTCATCTGCCATTATCAGCTGGACAAACACTCACGGGAACGTGCTCGGTTTGGCCAGACAGTTCTCACCAGTGGGCAGTTTCGTGTCTCTCTAACCGAATGAGTTTTCGAAGTCACGGCTGTATTTTACTTCCTGGTGTCAGTTATAAAAATTCCACAATTTTTATCGGTGATGGTATCATATTGGTGGTGTTTTTTACCGATTTTATTGCCTCTAGCATTGTTATATGCAATATCCAGTGTTTTTCCTCCCTGCACCACGCTTCGCTGGTTTGGGATTATGAGCGGAATATTTAGGACTTGCCCATACATTCCTTCCCATTTTGATGGTTAGGGGGTGGGACTTACATCCGTCATTGTAATTTTGCCAGTAGCATATAAGCTCGGCTCCTTTTACTCCGCCTTGCCATGCCCCCGCCTGATTGACATCAGTGGTCACGTGACTTGGTAAGTGTGTTTTTCTCTCTCTCGGCTTCGGCTGTGCCTTCAATTGAACTAAGGGTATGCTTGCCAGACAGAATACTGCACCCGACTCGCCTTCGTTGGGAGTCTGTCTTATGCTTATATGTACCCCAAGGAGGACTTCTTCTGAAAAAGAATTTACAAAGCTGTAGAGGTTATGAATTCTTTGAAGAAAGTCCTCCTTGGGCTACAGCCAACCACCTCCCCTCATTCTGTCTGACACGTTCAGCATGAAAAGTGAGGTACGAGGTAAGCAGCCAGTTAACTGCTCTTGTCTGTAGGGGTCCCTGTGTTGGGCCCTGTTGGAGTGGTCTCAATAATTATAACGAGTTTTTTGTTTGGTAAAATATTTTATTGAAACATTGTTACAACTGTCATAGGTATTTTAAAATGGACATTTTAATGCTTATATGTGCCCCAAGGAGGACTTTCTTCAAAGAATTCATAACCTCTACAGGTTCGTAAAAATATGTACATAAAGAATAAGTACATAAAAAATCAGGCTATAGATCAGACCTTGCAAAAAATTCAGAAAGATATATTGCAACATTTCAAGTGTAGTCAATGAGGTATCCTCAGAATCCAGTGTCCTTTATCCAGGTAATCTCCAAGCTCCATGCGGGTATGACAAGTTCAGCTACTCATGGCGCTCCCGGAAGGGCACACGCTTCCACCAGAGTCATGGCAAACATTACAGCAATGACTTTGGCAAGGGGGATGTCCTTGGCTTCTACATCCACCTTCCACCTCCCGGAGATTCAGGGAAGCTGCTACCTCCCACCTTCAAAGATAGGGTGAGTACGCTGACAGCTTAAATACTTGGTTCTCAGGCACAAGACAATAGAAATAAGGGCATTCCACTGCTAATTATCTCATAGCACTTCACACTTGAACTTGGATAAAGTTTTGAGAGTCTTTACCTGAGAGGGGCAGTGGGTAGCCTAGTGGTTAAAGCGTTTGCTCATCATGCCGAAGGCCTGGGTTCGATTCCCCACATGGGCACAATGTGTGAAGCCCATTTCTGGTGTCCCCTGCTGTGATATTGCTGGAATATTGCTAAGAGCGACGTAATATTCAACTCACTCACTTTACCTGAGAACCAAGTGTTTTCCGTTTTTTACCTTTGTTATATCAGTGTAGGAAAGATGTAGAAAATCTGGCCTGTCCACAGGACTGGCAGGTCAAATTTTTTACCAGTCCTGCCAAAATCTAGCCTGTCCTCCAAATATAAATAAAACACCTTCGGCAGTAAATATTCAAAAAGGTTATAATCATTATATATATGTCATTGGTTTGCTAAAATTGACCCGACATGAGGACGGACTAGATATTTTTTTAACCCGTCCTCCACAAAATTCACCCGTCTCGGACGTTGGGACGGGCTATCTTTCCTACACTGGTTATATGTACACAAGTGTTGTCTTCATTTACAGGTCAGTTCAGTTACTTTGCCAACATTGATTATATAGTGCTGTCACTTCAGTTTTTGTAACTGGTTCTTTCTGTAACAAGACGGTGGCAGGTTTGTTTCAAGGAGTTCATTTTTTGAAAGAGCACCTGAGACGATATGATGTTGATGGTTTTAGTGTTGACTGGATAACTGAAGAATAGTAGGCAAGTCTCAGCCAGACATCCAGATCAGATGTCATTTGTCACTTCGAACACATAAAACACTGAAGTGGACTGCAATGTTTGCCGAGGGTTGACATGCTTAGTGGCTCTATGGAAGCACTGGGGGTGTTCTACTTTAATGCACATGATGAGACCAATTCCTAAAATGGTTCCAATTTCTCCAAGACATTTTATTAACCCATGTTACACATTCGTTGTTAGCAAATGGAACCATATTTACTTAATCTGCATACTTTATCAGTAATATTAGCATCCCACCCCAATAGGTACCACCTAACTAACGTTTTGATTAATTTGCAAGAAGTCTTTAATAGCAAGGTCTTCTTAAACAAACAATCTGTACTTTATTAAGTATATCACAGATATCTCACAGAAGACAGCAGCCTTGCCTTGTAACAACCGTAAAAAGGTTTTCTTTGATGTTTTAACTACATGTGTTCATAATTGTTGATTGTCAACAAATTTAACTTGTGTTTAGTTATAATAAGCATTCCTTTGATCTGTTGTCCACTTCCACACAGTGTTGGGCAGTTGGGTAGCCTAGTGGTTAAAGCGTTCACTCGCCACACTGAAGGCCTGGGTTTGATCCCCCACATGGGTACAATGTGTGAAGTCCATTTCGGGTGTCCCCGCCGTGATATTGCTGGAATATTGCTAAAAGCGGTGTAAAACTAAAACTCACTCACTCACTCACTCACTCACTATCAGTGTTGGTGTGCTGTGGTGATGTTATGACCTGCTTTGCTTCCAATGAATGTCCCCATTTCTTATCCAATAAACTGAAATAACTAAATACTCATTCACTTTTCGACTCTTCACTGCGCACATTCAATAGGAGTGCCTGTTGGAATACATAATCACACTGGTACTGTGCACCTTACACAATCTAATCTGGTGACAGTTATGAAGCTCATACAACTTTTCAGATTGATTCCGTTTGCCTTTGTCTTCAAATCAAAATGTATATCTAGTTTCTGTTTTGATGTATGTAGCAGAATAAGCAGAGTTAATCAATTTGATCCGAGTGAAGGTTAGGCATGGAGATATACAGAGTTATCTCCCCTGATGTGTTTTGTTGCTTCAGTTCCTTTAACTGCTGTCCTTGGTGTCTCTCGAAATTGGGAAGGGGTAGAGGAGGGAATCTTTGCCTCAGCATTTAAGGTGCCTCAATGATCTGTTCTTGTGGTTTTCTTGAAAGTGTTAAACATCTGAGAAATGCATCACTTCAGGCTTTTCTACCTCAGTTTGCTGACCTGTGATATAAGAGAACTAATGTACAAGTGGTTCTAACTCACTCACCCATTTTACATGAAAAAACCCAGTAAAACTTTCAGTTAACCAAGTTTATTCAGTTGGTAAGGCACCATTATAATGGTTTAAAAAATACACCATATTCTGTACAAGCTTAAGTAGTTGACCTACTTGCAAATAACAAGCAAAACATCCTGTCAACCAAGAAAGGGAAACAACTCTATGTACATCACATTGATAGCGGTGGACTAAGTCGGAAGTCATGTGACCTGTCAGCTATGTCTTGCATAGGTTAGGACTGCAACTCACGCAGGAGTATTACACAGTGGCTTCATGACGCGTAGATGAGAGGACGTGTGTACGACAAATGGTGACTCTTGAGATCAAATCAGATATTTCATGATGCACCAAGACACGTTTATGTCTTGTCAGAGTATCCAGACTTCCTGACTAATGTGTATTTTTAATCTGAATTTGTGACATTGTTGGGTTTTTCGTATCATAATTTTATGAAACACTAGATTCTGTAATGAATTTAAGAAATAGATTTGTGTCAAGTGTGCATGCATTATTAGCCAGAATATTTTGACAGGTGTCAATCATGTAAGTCTCGTACAGCACTGTAGATCACATCACTGATATCAACATGTTTCAAAACAGATTAACACAGTTGTTAATAGCACTTCTATATTTCGACAAAAGAAAACAACCAAATTCTGAGTTGAGTTGTGTTGGGGATTATAAACAGCCAAGGATATTTTATTCATGGGTCAAATGCATGCTTATAATTTTTAGACTGATCTCATAGTGAGATGTTTTCATTTCAAAGATTTTAGTATATTTATATCCTTCTCTGCCAACTATAATACAGAAGAAGTATGGTTTCAACATAGTTTGACAATACCACCAGTTATCTCCCTTTACAGCAGCGGTTTGCGTTAACAGGATATCAGTGCTGACTAGGCCCCAATATTTCAGGCAGCAGGAAATGATTTGATGAGCAAAAAAACAAACATACAAACTTAACACAATTAACTCAAGTAACCATGGTAACAATGGGTATATATGATGTCAACAGTGGCGTTACAGTAAGGTGGCCCTACCATTTCATCTGCCTACTCTCACCCCAATAATGCTTAACGTGTGCCTGAGTGAGTGTTTGGCCACCAGTTTCATTGGACGCTTGATTCATGGCTACAGATCTATGAGACTACTCTACATGCTTTCAGACGTTCTCACCAACTAAATTATCCATTCAATTTGACGCTACAGGATACAAAATATTTGAGGTTGGACCAGTTTCGTAAAACAGTCTTACTGCTACCACTGTCGTAACTCATACTTTCATATAAACGCTAAGCTGTAACACTATGATCTTCAAAAAAATATCGCCAACATGAATTATATTTACTAAAACTATATTGTGACTTGCAAGGCGTTTCCAGGTTAGATCAGTTTCGTAAGCCATATGGAGCTATGACTGACGTAACTCATACTTATGACTTACGACAGTTGTAGCACTAATAATACCCAAACATGGTCGCCAAAGTTGATATTGTCTTTTTATGTGGAACTAGGTGTTGTGCCTTTCAAACCATGGCTTGTTTGAATCTGCCTCCTACAGCAACAGCAGACGTGGAAGCAGACGTAGAAGTATGATTGCATTGCAACATAGACCCAGAAGCTTCTTTGTGTTACCTTCAAAGCGACCTTGCTGTTATTTCAGTCGTTACTCTATATTTTGACATTACGACAGTTGTAGTACTAAGACTGCTTTGTGAAACCTGGTCCTGGTTTGGAAGTTTTACATTGACACTCTCTTCCATTGATCTGCAAGTAGATATGCCTGCATGATATGTTGTGTACCTATCAAGGTTTAGATTTTATAAATGAAAGTGGGCAGTCCAGACAGTATTGTTTCCGATCCAGACGTATGTCTGAGATCTTTGTTGTGTCGCATGATTGTTCTCAAGGCACTGGATATCACAATGATATGTCTACAGCGACATTGACAGGAGTAGTCTATGGGCACTTGGAGATCCTCCAGGACGTCAGACGTGCGTCTGCTTCACGCCAAGGAGATTCTTCGTAGGGTCAGAATGAGATCGTTCTCGACTAAGAGGTTCCACATCATCTTCACTCTGCAACAAAGAATAAGACATTGTTTGGGTGTTTGCTGAATGTTGATAGTACTCCTTGACTTAGTAAAAATGTGTTGGTATAAAAAAATGATGTAAGTTTGTAATGGAGATGATGATATCACAATGATAACTAATAAAAGTAAAAAGGATAATATGTTTTTCGAAAAGTTTTGAAATTATGTTTATAAGTTGTTTAAAACAACCCAATATGTAGAGTTCAGGTGGAATATTGTCAGCTATTGCCTCCCTATCCCTCACAGTGTTGTGCTGCGCCATCTGCTGGTGTACATGTACCAGTGATGTTTTAGAGTTACCTACCCCTGAGGGAACCACCTTGTTTGTGGCCAGGTTCCGAGCACTCTGGCAAGTTGGGGGCTTGTCTTCTTTTAACCTCGTTTTCAGAGCTGAAAATAGCATGACAGATAAAGTACAGTGATATGAAAGAATTGAGTGTTCTATAACTTCTAATGGATAGTGTGTTAGGTTTGATTACATTATTACACAAAATCATGTTAAATGTCTCCTTAAGAATAATAAAATCTGTGTGTAGAAGACTTACATTTAACAAGTTGGTCCATCTGTTCTCCATGCACTGAAGGAACCCTGAAGAAAGAAGGAAGTTGTTTATCAATTATTTCTATTATACCGGTACATTCAGGGCTTCAGTACTGTCACTTTAAAGGATTGATATAAACAATATGGGAAAGAACACAACAAAATATCAGTAACAAAATCTTATCTTCTAAAAGTGGTGTTTTATATTGAATATGACAACAATAGATGAAGATATAACAGCTGAAAGATATTTTAAACAAAATATTGCAATTCCAAATATGTCTACTCAGGGTACATAGTTAAGAATCCAAGATTAATCCTTTAAAAGCTGATTTGGAGGTTGATCTGTGTATTGGATTCATTGATGGTGGAAGGAAAGGGGTGTTCACTTTGACTTACAGGAACTTCCTCTGGTCCTTGTTGGCGCTGCTTGGCCTGAGACTGGCCCCTTCTTTGGAGGATGAGGGAGGGGAGGACTGGGGCGCTGCAACAGATTGTCACACTTCATGTGAAGGAGGCCTTGAAAGACTCCAGATATTCAGAAAACTAAGTCCAGCTCCTGTTCTAAGTTTGTATTTACCAACCATACTATTTAAACTAGGTACCACTGAAATCTTGTTAATTACTTGATGGTAATGTGATATAAACCCTTCTTGTGCTATACAGGGAGCTGGGATTGTACGAATGCTACTATCCATTGACCAATGGAATAATGTAGCACTGTGAGAATACTTTAGTTTGTAGATTTGGTGAATTATACATTTGCACATTATTTCCACAATTGTATCATGACATCATTAAGACAATGTTACATTGTGATCTAAATATTATGTGGTGTTTTGTTGTCACTCCTCTTGCTGTAAGTGAGTGCATATAGTTTTATGCAGCATGTAGCAATGTTCCAGCAATATCATAGTTAGGTAGCCGGAATGTACCCATGGGTTGAATCCAACACAGTTATTAGCCTGAAGGCTATCCGACTGCCTTGAAGCACAGGTGATGGATTAGTGCCCCAAGGACATAGTGTTAGAAGTTTCTTTATATATTTTATAAAGCAGATCATTATCATTGTATCATTATCACAGAAAGATATTTCACTTACAAGATCTGACGGGTATTCTACTCGTCTTCTTCTCACTCGGATCTTCTATTTTCACAGTCGGATCTATTTGCATAAATATATTTCCTCCATTAGACTGAACGCTCTTCGCCTTACTCGCCTCTTCTGGCACCTCCTTGGATGGCTCTTCTGGCTCAACCACTACAGGAGTTGTCTCCCTTTTGTCCTTCACCTCAGCAAACATGCTGTCCACTATAAGTTTGGCGGCCTCAAATGAATTACGCTTCTCCTCCTTTGTTGGTTCACAGAGTTCATCCTTGCTGTCCTTTTTCTCGGGCGAACTGCGCTGAGATCCTGATTTGCTTTTAATACTGCCTTCACCCTCCTCCTTTATCAACTGAAAGAACATCACAGACTTAGTATTGTTGATTTATAGTTCGTTTACTGAGTTCCTACAGTGAGTGCATGTTATATGGCCGTCAGCAACATTACTGCTGTATCAGCTCAGTGAGTAAGTCCTGTTTAGGACTGAGATCAAGATTTACTTTTAGTGAGGTGAGGTGAAATTGGGTTTTACGTCGTGCTTGAGAATATTTTGCTCATATGACGATGTGCATGCGTGTGTATGTGTATGTGCGGCTGCTTGTACTAGCCCAGACTTAAGCTGGTTTTATAGTACTAGCCCACTGAGATACCATACCGCAGTGAAGCAGACACACATTATACTGACTCGAGCCGACCAGTCCTTGTTGACCCATTAATGCGAGTGCCAGGCAGGGACCAACAAGTACCATATTTTAACATCTTTTGGTATGACGCGGTCGGGGATCAAACCCGCGACCTTCCGTTCTCGAGGCGGACTCTAACTTTCTTTTAGTACAGCATTCAGCTTTCTGTTTTATCAGCTAGAAGAACATCACTTTTAGTGTATATTCTGGTATTTTGGTTGATTGTGTTTGCAAATTCCTGTGGCGAGTGAATGTTACGTGCCACATTTCGCCACTTTCCAGCTATGTCAGCTCAGTATGTAACTTGCAACAAGGACTGAGAACCAGTGACTGACTGCATGAGCAATATTTTTGTCATCCGGGTACAGACTACCAGTCAGGCCACACAATGTGATCGTCTAATCCCAGGTTGTGATTTTACTTATGACATGATCGTGGCACGCCTAACTTTAGTAGAGATTTTGAATGACAAACCGGATGAAACAAATACGATAAAAATGGCTGTCGAATCATGTATCCATCCACCAGTATTTACTGAGGGTGATTTACTTACTGAGAAGCCATCTTCCTTGGAAGCTGCGGCCTTCATGCGGGGAGCCCGACTTGCCCTGGCTCGGTTCTTGGGAGGTGGAGGTTTTCTGAACTGTGTAGTCAAGGCGGAATGTTAGGTAGGATGTCTCTAAGAAGACTTCAGATTAGCAACATTACACAAACATTAGTATTTAGAGAACAAGAACACTGCAACTGGCTGATTTTTGGTTGCAAGAGTTTGGAATATAACAACTAATCACTTGAGATTTTCGCAAGTTTTAGACTAATAGACTGATTAAATCTACTGTAGTGATGCAATTGGGAGGAGAAAAAGGTTAGGAACGAGAAATTCTTATCAACAAGTCTAAGCTTCAGTCCCACTGATGTAGAACGTTTGGTTGACAGGGAAAGTTACTCACAGACTTCAGTATCTCCGTTTCTCTCATGACAACAGAGAAATCCCCCAAATCATCATCTTCCAGCAATTTGTCATTTTCAGTTTTTCTGAAAAGAGAATTTTCTTACATGACAAGTCTAAACTGTTGCATGAACATACTTTTACAATGATCATACATGCAATACTTATGCTAAAAGACTTTAAATTATGACTGGAATGATTCAATCTTTGAGACATTAGATGGCCACAGTTGGTGTTGTCAAGCTTAGAGTGAGACAATGTTCCAAAATTTAATCCCATCGGTCAAAAGCTGAAACGTGTCGACATTATCTTTGTTTTCTGAAGTTTCACCTCAGTCAATATTTTGTTGTTTTAGTTTGTTACTTTTCTGTTTTGTTTGTGTGTTATATGATAACATCACATAAAAATCTGATTTATTTATGGATATTCAATTAGGACACCTTTATACTTGGGAAACATTTAAATAATTTTGCTGTCCAGGTTTATAAGTTTAATGTAGAGAGCACATTTCTGGTTGTATATTGAGAGTGCGTAATATTTCCTATACGTTTTGAATGTTGGCATGATGTTGCTGTGTTTAAAGGTTAAGGGTGAGTGTGGCCCACACAATACCTCGTATCAGTCGTCACCTTACTCTGTAGTTGTGAGAGCGGCAAGACATGGGTGCAACTCGGACATGTGTTTGGCTCACTGCCAGGGCAAACATGGACAACTGTGTAGACCACCGAATGCTTGGGACGCTCGAGTTAATTGCCTCCATGCCAAATAAATAGGCCATTATGTCATGATGCATAGACTTTTGCAGCAAGGATGTGTTGTGTCAAGATGTTCTCAGGAAGATTGATCACTCACTGACAATAGCCAGCACTGACTGACATTTTATGTATAGCTTCCCTCTGTATTGGATTAACGTTTTCTTAACAAGAGACACAATAGTTTGAAATAGAGATTTCTGATCTATTGAATGTGTCAATGAGTCGGTATGGTTTTATGCTATCAACTCTGTTTGTGTTAAATGTCCGTATTGTTCAGTGATATGGTTACTCTGGGGTGAACGTAGGTCTCTGACTATAATCTCTGCTGGTGTTATATTTCCGTATCTACCAGTGAGGTGATGTGGTTGCTCTACTGAGACCACTGGTCTCTGACTATAATCTCTGCTGGTGTTTATTCCGTATCTACCAGTGAGGTAATGTGGTATGACAACTAGTCTTTGACTGGTCTCGACTATAATCTGCTGGTGTTATATTTCGCTACCAGTGAGGTGATGTGGGTTGCTCACTGTTGCTCTCTGAGACCATTGGTCTCTGACTGGTCTCGATATCTCTGCTGGTGTTATATTTCTTATCTACCAGTGAGGTGATGTGTTGCTCTACTGACTATAATCTCTGACTGTGCTGTTAATATTTCCGTATCTACCAGTGAGGTGATGTGGTTGCTCTACTGAGACCATTGGTCTCTGACTATAATCTCTGCCTGTGTTTATTTCCACCGGTATCTACCACTGAGGTGATATAGGTCTCTCTGATTGAGGGTGATCTCTACCTGTGTTTATTCTGACTATCTGCTGCTGGTGTTATACTGGTATGACCACTAGTGAGGGACTATAAGCTACTGCCTCTCATATTTACGTATCTTAAAGTGGGTTGACTATAATCTCTGCTGGTGTTATATTTCCGTATCTACCAGTGAGGTGATGTGGTTGCTCTACTGAGACCACTGGTCTCTGACTATAATCTCTGCTGGTGTTATATTTCCATATCTACCAGTGAGGTGATGTGGTTGCTCTACTGAGACCACTGGTCTCTGACTATAATCTCTGCTGGTGTTATATTTCTACACTGCAGGAGGATGTGGGAGTTGCTTCTTACTGGAGACCACTGGTGATGTGGTTTTCTCTACTGAGACCACTGGTCTCTGACTATAATCTCTGCTGATGTGGTTGCTCTATGAGACCACTGGTCTCTGACTATAATCTCTGCTGGTGTTATATTTCCATATCTACCAGTGAGGTGACGTGGTTGCTCTACAGTGACCACTGGTCTCTGACTATAATCTCTGCTGGTGTTATATTTCCATATCTACCAGTGAGGTGATGTGGTTGCTCTACTGAGACCACTGGTCTCTGACTATAATCTCTGCTGGTGTTACTGAGACCACTGGTGGTCTCTGACTATAATCTCTGCTGGTGTTATATTTCCGTATCTACGAGTGGTTTAATCTGGTTATCCTGATGAGTCTGGAGGTCTCAGACTAACATGCTGTTACATCAGACAGGGGAACATGATTGATCTGAAGCTGACCACATAATTAGATTCCCTGATGTGTAACATTGTTGTAGCTGGCTTCTTGGACAGACTGCTTGTCAGGGATGTGTTATGTAAATACTGGCATCAGTAGAAGTGGGACTGTAACTAGATAGAGTTGTATTTACACCAACCAGGAAATCCTACAGAACATGGTTCAGCATTGTTTCACTTTCTATTTTAGTCTTTTACCATTTGAAATATTCACCTATGGATGTGAGGAATTGGAGATCCAATCAAATAAGTATGTTAATCAAATCCAGCTTGGACATGTACAGTAATAACCACTGCTGTATGATTAGATTTGGATTGATTACTGGTTGGAATGTTTCATTCATTACTGACTTGATTACTGGATTGATTTCTTGACTGAATAATAGAATGGTGACAGGGTTGAATGTGATCTTGATAATTGGATTAAATGCTTCATTACCGGATTAATTATGAATTCTTGCATGGATTGCTGGATTAAACCATGCTTTCATTATGAATTGAATGCTGTATGAAATAAATGCTTGATTGATTACATCATTGAGTACGAGAATGATTACTGGGTTGAAAACTGGACTAGATTACTGGGGTTGAATGCTGCATATTCCGGATTGATTTCTGGATTTATCACTGCTTTGATTACTGGATTGACTTAAAGCCATGTTTCATTAGAACACACAATATTGGGGAAATGTACTTCAGCTACCATGATTAATGTTAAAATATTTATTTATTTTCTCATTCTTATGATTTTGTGTGTTGTTTAATGACGCTCTTAATATATTAATAGAGATATGACACAACTTATAAATTATCAGTTCAGGTATTATGAGCATCGACGTGACATGCAACTACCAAGTCAATTCTTTTGAAAAGCAAGGGGTGAGTGAGTGAGTTTAGTTTTTCGCCGCACTCAGCAATATTCCAGCTATATGGTGGCGGTCTGTAAATAATCGAGTCTGGACCAGACAATCCAGTGATCAACAGCATGATGAAAAGCAAGGAATGTGTAACTCAGAGTTTTATCTTGGCTGAGAAAAAATTAATATATCCCAATTGCCATCATCAGGAAATAGCTTGTGGCTGAGACTAGATCTCTATTCCTTATATATTTATTTATGAACTAAGAAATGCTTCCTTCTTGAGTTCAGTTAATTAGTTACTACTGGTTATCATTAGTGCGGCAGAAAGTTCATCACAAAAGTTTGGTCAGAACCAATAGGAGTAAGATTGCCTTTTAATGATAGAGGGTCTGTTTTGATGAGTGGATTCAGTGTTGGTCTTTCCTGCCTGAGGGGATAGAGATTTAGACATTCTGCTGATTGTATCAGACCTGGTATGGACATTGTGGTACACAGGAAGCTTGCTCAGCCTTGTAGCCATCAGGAGGAAATATGATAACACACATTGGGTAACTCTTGTAAATGTTACAGAAGTAGATATGAGTGAGATATTGTTACACTCAGAGGTCTGGAGATCAGAGAACCGATGAATTATGGACTAAATATATAAGTTGTAGAATTGTGCAGTTTGTAATGCATGTTGTGAGTGTTTTAATGTTAATAATAGTGTTGTGAAATTTCATGTACATTGTTAGTTTAATTAATAGCAGGGCTCCAGATAATTTTTCAACATCAGGAGTACGTACTCCTTATTTTTTCAATATAGGAGTACTGGATAAACTTAAGACTACATTTTGAGTACTGAATGGAATTTAATGGCGTATCAGTAATCTTGTGTTTCGTTTCATATATGCACCACAACATTGCTACTCTTGTGTAAACAGGTCAATAAACAATAAAACAACACTCTTTCAGATAAATACGTCTGTAAATGATTCCAAGACCATACACCATTGCTGTGGTGTGTATGTGCTACGTTTTCTAAATTATTTCCTACCGTATCATGCATATTTTTTATCCGTACATACACCGATACGGCCCTTATCTGGAGCCCTGTAATAGCTCACTCACTCACTCACTCACTCACTCTGTTCACTCCCTGAACCATTTAAACACTCACTAACTCATCTGTTCACTCATTCATTCATCCATTCAACCTTTCACTAAGTCAACCACTCACTAAATAAACAAGTCCGTCACCAAACGACTCTACATATGACTGATAGGCGGGGCGTGGTTTGGCAGTCTGTCATTGTACAGACTGATACAGTTATCAATACCTCCCTTTAAGTTGGTAATAGTACTTATCTCCAGAACAAGATCAGTTGTAAAGGAATTAGATCAAATCATGTCCCTAGGTTGATGCTAGACTTAACGTAAATTCAAATACATTGTGGATGACGTTGATGACGAACATCGGAATCATGTTGACATGAGGTTTTGTTTGTTTGTTGTTTAACATCACACTCAGCAATATTCCATCTATATGACGGCGGTTGTAAATAATTCAGCCTGGACCAGACAATCCAGTGATCAACACCACGAGCATCGATCTATGCAATTGGGATATGCTGACAAGTGTCAATCAAGTCTGACCGATCCCGTTAGTCTCCTTGTATGACAAGCATGGGTTGTTGAAGACCAATTCTAACCTGGATCTCCACGGATTTGACAAGATGTGGAATATAGACTTTGATGTGTGGTCAGTGTTAACTTTGATCTAGTAGCAAGCGACGGTCACATCAGTCTCGGCTTAGATAGCAACTTCAAATACATACTGCCTTTCATGTCTTGCTGACATGGCGATGGTGTGGAGAAAGAAAAGCCTGCAACACCCACCCCCCTGTCATATAGTAGTTTGCATTTGCCATTCACTTTGAACAGATA